AGCCTCCCAAAATACTGGGGTTACAGGCGTGAGCCATGGTGCCCAGCCCTTTGAACTTCTATTCAACAGATCTCACTGTATCACCATTCCTGGTAGATGTTTATCTCTGCCCTCAACCATGAGCTCCTCAAGGCAAAGACCATGTCATATTCATCACTGAGTCTCCAGTCTGGCACACTGTAAGGGCTCAGCGTTTCTTGACTGCATGAAAGATGGTGCTAGAAAATGAACAGGACAACTCTCAACTGCTGTAGTAGACGGTATAATTTTGCTACAACCTTGATGGGTTTACATAAAAAGGCCAGCACTTCTAAAAGAATCTTCTTTTAACTTACTCCTCAAACCCTGACATCTTCATCCCAGTTTTTATCTACATTATCATTATTATTATTATTAATGTTTTGTAGAGATAGGGGTCTCTCTATGTTGTCCAGGCTGGTCTTGAACTCCTGGCCTCAAGCAATCATCCTGCCTCTCAGTCTCCCAAAATGCTGGGATTATAGGTGTGAGTCATTACTCCCAGCCTCTATTTTATTATTAGTATTTCAAAAACTTCTCTCTATGCTCTTAACATTATTTTTGGAATCAAGAAGGCATACATTTCACATTATTACCATTCATCTTTTATTACAATTAATTCTATTAAAACAATACTACTTGATTAAAGCTCTATGATTAAAAAATATTCCAGATTACCAGAAGAAAGTTCATTAAAAGACTACTCCAGGTCCAGAAAGATATAAGGTAATTTTGATTTGTTATAAAGACCAACGTGACCAACATGACTTGTGATTGCATATTGTTTCAGAAGGGCAAAAAGGATTCAGTGTGAATAGGGAATCCAAAGAAAATGGAACAGACAAAAATAGAGATTGAACTAATACACCATGTTACTCTGAAACGAATGATTTCTGTTTGTAAATTTCTTGTTCCTAAGGAACCAATCATGGGGTAGATCTTGTGAAATTTTACATTAGTTCTTCAATTTCCTGAACTTGAGATGAGACCACCTCACCATTCACCATCTCCTGCACAACTGTCTTGATTTTTCGGGTTTTGGTCGGGTCTAAAGATAAAAATGGAATAAGGGGGCAAAAGTTAGTGTTTCAAATATTAATCCAGCATTAGTTGTTTAATGCAGGTTTCTAAATTAAGCATTGGTTGATACAATCCATATAATTAAACTTTCAAAAGTAAATTTTACTTCTTAAAAATGTGTTTTATCCAATGAAAATGAAATGTATTCAGTGTTGCCTTGTACACATATGAAAACATTTTTTTAGGAAAACATTTCAAAGTTGGTTATGGTGATCATAATACCTTGTAGCAGAGTAGGTTTTTTTCCCTCCTGGGATTGCCAATTTTTTAATTTTTATTTTAATTTTCTTAGAGACAGGGTCTGGCTCTGTTGCCCAGGTTGGAATGCAGTGGCATGATCATAGCTCACTATAACCTCTAACTCCTGAGCTCAAGGGGTCCTCCTGCCTCAGCCTCCAGAGTAGCCGAGATCACAGGCATACACCACCATGCCCAGCTATTTTTTTCTTAAGTTTTTTGTAGAGATGGGGTCTCACTGTTGCCCAGGTGGGTCACGAACTCCTGGCCTCAAGTGATCCTCCCACCTTAGTTTCCCAAAGCTATGAGATTACAGGCATGAGCCACCATGCCCCCAAAAGTTTTAATACAGTACAGACTACTCGTTTTGTGCAGGAATGCATAAATGTTTTTCCTTGGCTCAGAATATAAATATGCTTTAAATTAAAATTAATAATAATGCAATATTCAATGAGATCTTACAGGTTTTGCATTAATAAATGTGATTCTGACTTATTCTAAGTGATTCTAGGGTTTCTGCATACCTTTAGAGGAATCAGTTGACTGTGCTTGTGATTTGGAGTCTGTCACAAATAAACTTTCCTCCAAACCATCACTGTAAGAAAACAAAGGAGATGACCTCAAAAAGTGAAGCAACCTGGCTTTTAATGGAAGAGCTGGTCTCAGAAATTCGATTTCCCAATTTGTAGGCCTGAGTTCTTCCAACTAGTGCAGCCTCTGATCACTTCTGGAAAGCTTGTTAGAGTAGGTGGTTCAGGAGGCTACTAGGTGTCCTTCTTATCATCAGGTCTTTGATATCAGAAATTGAGTGACTTTTGTAGTATAGGGAATACTGATTTACAAACTGTTTCTGACAGTAGTGCCTTTGTTCATTGTAGCATTTTATGAATTACCAAGTAAGATAATGGGTGAAAACACTTTGCAAAGTGTAGAGCATTTAGTAAATCCCAGGCATATCTTTACTAGACTTTGTTTGTTTGCTTTTCTGTCAACTAAAACCCCATTCCTTCTATTTCTGCTGTCCACTCTTGGTCA